ATTTGATCATATTTAAAAAGAAGCGCATTGACAGTAAATTTATTTATGTAAAATTTTAACGATAGATGGCAATTATATTTAATTTAGAAATAATTTGTAATAAAGAAACATTCGTTACCTCTTTGTTGTCTAAATAGACATTTGTTTAACGTAAAAATGAGAATTTTTTAGATGGCAAAGCAGCACCATCTAGTAGGTTAAAACTAAACTAAACGTTGACTCAAGTTTATTCTAGGCTATTAGCCAATCCATTTTCTTGGTAAATTTGTGAGGTCAGGATATGTACAGAGGGTATTTCACTTTTAAAACCAATATGTGGCAATGACTTAGAAGATAAACCCGGCCTACATGGGTGGCGATCTTTTAAAATCGCTTTTAAAAAACCTTTTAGCATTAATATTTAAAGAAAAATTAACATACCAGAGAAATTTTAGATTTTGTAAAAAAATATACATTTTTTTTACCTTCTCAGAAAGAATTTTCTTTTTTTCTCTGATAAATAAGTGATGAATATGTAAAGAAAAACATTAGCGTTTCTAATTTCTCGATACGCTTTATAAATAAGAGAAAATAAATACAATATTTCGATTGTTGATAAAATTCGTCTTTGAATGAGAAAAAGAACTGTTGACTTGAAGGCTTGGGAATAAATTACTAATAAATATCTTGAGATTAAAAAGTCTAAAATCATAAAGATATTTATACGAGTATCATTATACTGTTCAATATCTAAAGAAATTCTATTAAATATATAAACATATAGATAAACAATTTTATAACATTTAAATTCTCTATTTTAAAATTGACTCACACTCTCTCTATAGTAATAATCAGATATATATATTAGATAATAAAAAGTCATATAGATAAGGCACAATTTGGATTATAGATTATAAAACAAGGTAATAAGACCAAATCCAAAAGTACTGAATGATAGAGGAGAGCTTCAGTACTTTTGTCTGAAGATGGTAACAACGCTGTTACCGAAACGTCACACACTATTTATTTATTTGGATTTGGTCTTATTACCTTGTTTTAAAAAGGCATATATTGGATTGAATAAAATATTTATTTGTATTTTGCACTTTTTTTTTAAATTAAAAAGTTGTAAGGCGTTATATGATTTTTGTAATAGATTAGTTAGTTAGAATGGCTATATTGACGTCTATTACCGCAATTGGGATGATACATCTTCTTGTATAACAAACGAACACATTAAGACGCGAATGTTTCTTTCACAAATATATCAAACTTCTACTGTCCTTACTGCGATGAAAATATTGGGAGGGCTTGGTTAATCAGTGTTGAACCCTCCCAGTGGTTTCGCAAATTTAATCTACCAGACCGCTTCTTTAGAGCTCTAATACTGTATTGAATCATTCTGCTTTTATATGTGGGGGAATTCATCGCAGTAAGGACAGTAGAAGTTTTATTTATTTGTGAAAAGAAACATTCGCTTTTTAATGTTTTCATTTTTTATATATATAGATGGCGCGTTATTGCTTTTTATTAACTTCTCCTTGTAGTTGCATTCATATAGGAAATGATCATATATATTTAAGTTACTTAGTGCTGATCAATTTCTACCAAAGGCTTAACCCACGCAAGGCTTCTGTGAAAATGACTAAGCTCAATTGGTGACTTATGTCCAGGATTTCTTTTCCCAAAGTCCTACTTCTAAAATTATCTGAAGCGAAGTTGGCGGATGTTGTGCAACCCTTGCTTCCCATTGGTCGACCCAACAGCCAATAGCAGCGCTCCCTGGGCATGTTTACGTATTGGATGAATGAACCGACGTACACAGTGGGGATACGTTCTTCGAAAGGTAGGTCGTCTGCTTCCTAAGCTCCGCTAAGTCCATCGGTCAAAAAAGAACATAGTCATCTTCTATGATTTTTTTCCCCATTTATATTTTTGAGAAAATATTTCAAACTATAAATATAATGGTAGGTATTTTTTAGATAAATATTTCAATAGAAACTTTATAAAATATTTTACACATTTAGTAACAGAAACTTATCTTTCTAATATACTTTTTAAAATATTAAAGCAAAAAGGCTATTACAGAACTATAGAAAATGTTCATGAATTTATATAATTATCGATATTTTAAAATATTTTATTTATATTTAAAATAGTATATATAATTAATTTATTAAAATATATATATTAATAACAAACGAAAAAGAAATCGAGATATCAAAAGAATATTTGGTAAATTTTTCTCGCACTTTTTAAAATACGATTTACAAATTTTAAAATAAATAAAAATTATATTGTGTTTATATATTTAAAGAATATATATATTCGCAATATTATATATACATATATCGTCTGCTTTTATATAGGACCGTCTATAATATGTAAATATATATAGTTGAGTTAACTTATTTATAAATAGCCAAGTGAAACAAGTCTTTTTATTATTTAGAAATTTCAAATCTTCCCAAAAAATGATGAAAGTCATTTGTAAAAAGATGACGTAGCTTTTATTCCCAGTACGAATCCTTTCTTTCAATGACGTAGTTTGTAAACAACCCCCCCTGCCATCTACCGGTCACCAATGTTACTATTTTAAAATTTAGCCTTCGATATTTGTGTTTTTTTAAGATGCCTTTTTAAAAATATATAAAAAGATTGATAATCGTATTAGTTGTGAGCTATAATTATTATTATTATTTTTTTAAATGTTGTATGTGAAGTTCGCAAAAAAACAAGGCCGAAATGGCGTATGTTCTTTGTTCGCCTGCTTTGTCTTTATCCCAAACGAATATTATGTAATTTGACCTAGAGATTGCGAAGTTGTTTAGTGCTTTTTTTACTAGTGGTATTATTGCATAAGCCAAAATGCATTTCATTTCTTAAATTTAATAATTTTCGTTTAATATTTATATTTCATTTTTAAAAAAATAGATTTTTTATAGATTGTAAAATCTCCACACCCATTGTAGATATAAATTTATATCCAAAATGGTGATACCAATTGTTAATATTATAATATTTCTAAATTATCAGTTCATTTTTTAAGCAAAAGCTTTGATAAAAATAACATTTAAACTAATTATTTAGAATTGTTTCTCTAAAGTAAACTTAAAATGAAGGGTAAAGTGCGTTTTAAAATACTAGATTTTGTATTTTATTAGAGTCATGGTAAATTTGTATATTGGTGCTTCGTTTGATAAATACCTTAGAATTTACACTACAGGGAGAAAATGTGATATAATACGCTGAAGAAGGAAAAAACTATTACAAAATTATATTCGATAAAATGCTAAAATATCAAATATTAAATTTAAAAAAAAAAGGGAGATTCTCAGATATTATCTATACATAAGAACTTTAAAACCATATTTTTATATTTCAAAAGTATAACTAAAACAAAGAAATATATGTATATATGTTACATATTTCGCATATATGTTATTTTATATATTCTCTCTTTTCAATATAAAGTAGAATATACCTAATATGCGTCATATAGCTTTTATAAGAACTGATAGTTTAAAAATATAATTTCCATAAAAATTCCTTTAAACAGTCTTCCATTTTTGACTAAACATTTCAAATATTTGTTTACGAATGAATTTGAAAGCGTTAAATGTAAAGTTCAAATAAATTTAACATTTTTATACCTTTGAATATTTTCGTTGCATGTGTAATGAACTACTGTTTATGTGTAAGGTATAAATAAAAATATCGCTTAAAATATAAATATAAATATTTTTAACTTAAGCAAAAGATAATGGGGGGTTATATCAAGTAACGATAGGCGCACTTGCGTCATTTAAGTTTGATAAACATTATATCATTTTGTGTATATATATATATTTTTTTCATTAAGTCAATGTGTTTGTAGATAAAATTGAGTACTTCTTTATTGAACAAAATCTTTATATATTTTATATTTAAATAAAGGACTCTTAATATAAATAAATAAATTGTTAAAATTTAGAAAAAAAAAGGAAAATCTTTTAAAAAATTATGAACAAAAACAAATATAATGTCAGTTTAGCAAGCTAAAACTGAACACTTAAATTATAATTATTATATAAATTATACTTAATTGATAAATATCATCACAAAATTGATAATTTATATGTATATAAGAAAAGTATTTCTCCTTCCCTTTCTCACTTTTTAAAACTAGCTATTTTACCTTAATTCGTTCATTAAATCAATCGAGAATCTAATGAAATAAAACTGAAGATTTCTAAAGTTGAATGTAGGGAATATTAAAGATAAAAATCCTAAATTTAATAAATTTTTACATTTTTTAAGTTATAAAAATATTGCAAAAGAACAAGAAAAAATCAAATCGACTAACAAAGATGTCATATTTGTGTTGAAAAATAAAGAAAGAAAAGAGATGACCAATTGTCATGTAGAAAAATGAAGGCATTTATCATAGCGCTAGGATGACATGGCATCTTTAGTTGGCAAAATATATTTTTTCAATGAAAGATAAGTGAAGCTATGAAATGTATTATAGTGATTAAGTAGAAAAAAGGAATAATTTTCCCGTTAAATAAATGAGTTTGTATTTTAAAATATCATCGAAGCCTATGTAAATATACATAACAAATGGGTTTTATATACTCCCTAGCGTCAAGTTTTTAAAAGAAGGTTTGGATGTTGATAGCAGATTTTACTGTAATTAGTTGGAAGAATTAGGCTTACATTTTATTAATATGACAGGCGCGATATTGAAATATTTGCGCCTATTACAGAGAAAACAGACAAAACAACAAATTAGAACTTAGAATTAAATACTATTTACATATTTACGTGTATTATTCGACAGAGTTCGTAAAATTTATATAGACAAAGTGGCTGATGTAAGAGAGAGGCATAGAAAGATAAAAATATGTTAAAATATAATAATCCTATTACTATATTTTTGATAGAAATGCATCGTTTAACTATAACTTAACACGTTAAGACACTATAAAAACAGTTTTGACAAAAGATAACCAATTTCAGTCAACAAATTGGACCAATGCCTGATTAGAAAAACACTGGTTAATTCGGAAAATCTCTTTAGTTCCATGTTAAATCCCATGAAACCAAATTGTTCTGGAGAAGCAAGGAGCAAATGACAGTTTTCAGTTGGTCTTTGAGACTTTTCTAAAGTTGTGATTCTGTTTTCTCTTTTTTTATTTGGGTCTAAAACGGTCACAAACTTGGTAGGGCGGTTAAATTTTTTGGTTCAAAATTTGACAAGATATTTGAAATTTCTTTTAAATAGTTCACTCTGTTCATAAGTAAGTTGGGATAAGTTTTTCTAGATGGCATTCAGGATTGAACAAGAATTTTCTATTTGAAGTTTCTAGGTAAGGTTTATTTCTCTTAACATTTATATATAATGTTACGATGTACTAGAGCGCCATCTGTATATTAATATTACGCCTCTAAAATAGTTTTACAATTTATATATAACTTAACATACTGATATCTATAGGAATAAATGTTACTGAGTAAACTTTTTTAATGTTTTATGTTCAGGAATCAAATTTTAAAGATTTGGTTTTGAAGTTGGAAATAGTGTGTCACGTAAAATGTTTTTTTTTTTTTTTTTAATCTTCATTCGTACTTTCGTTTATCTGAAATCACGTTTTCTTTCTTCGGATAATCAGGCTTATTGCGTACATACTCTGCAATGTTTGACATTGCTGTCTGGTAGTGTGACATGGATTAATGAATATATATTTATAGAGGGTTTATTCACACTACAAAGATCCCAACAAATGAGGACTGGTATAACCAGAAAAGTATTTATTCCAATATGAAGATCTCAGTATATAAGGTAGGCATGTGGACTATCAGACTTTCTTTGCAAGCGCGGCATTTCTATACAGCTCCATCCTAATTTTATATTCACTCAATTTGTCACATCACTCTGAAAATTCCAGAACTACTTACATAAAAGAGGTCTATCATAAACCCCCCGAATTGTTCCTGTGGAGAAACTGAACAAACTACGCTCCACCTTATCTATGACTGTCCTAACTTTACAGAAGTGAGACATCGATTGTTCCTTGATCTAAATGATTTAACTCTCTTACATCAGCCACTTTGTTTATATACATTTAATGAACTCTTTCGCTTTATATATATGTAAATCTGTAAATATTTGAACCTGTTTCAGTTTGGGTTTTTATTTTCTTTGTTATAGGCGCAAATAATGCAAAATTGGTTCTTGTTTATTAATAAATAAAATTAAAAAAAGTGGTGTAATTCAAGTGAAGAGAGGCAAAGGTGTTGTCAACACTCGGGTTGATTAGACACCACCACCACACAGAAGGAACCGTGGGGGCGTCGTGTTGTAATCCTACGTGACGAAACTGGGAGAAACCACCGTCGTCATTCTTACAGTACTGGAGGTACAGGTCTCTCTTTGTGGTCACGTCAGGTTAGTTACATAACTACTTGTCTTTTAGACTACTTCTCTACACACTACGATAACCTTGCTGTCATGTTATTCTTTGTTTAACTCACTTCTGGTCAGGTTAGTTACATAACTACTTGTCTTTTAGACTACTTCTCTACACACTACGATAACCTTGCTGCCATGTTATTCTTTCTTTGTTTAGCTCACTTCTGGTCAGGTTAGTTACATAACTACTTGTCTTTTTGACTACTTCTCTACACACTACGATAACCTTGCTGCCATGTTATTCTTTCTTTGTTTAGCTCACTTCTGGTCAGGTTAGTTACATAACTACTTGTCTTTTTGACTACTTCTCTACACACTACGATAACCTTGCTGCCATGTTATTCTTTGTTTAGATCACTTCTGGTCAGGTTAGTTACATAACTACTTGTCTTTTACACTACTTCTCTACACACTACGATAACCTTGCTGTCATTTAATTCTTTCTTTGTTTAGATCACTTCTGGTCACGTTAGTTACATAACTACTTGTCTTTTTGACTACTTCTCTACACACTACGATAACCTTGCTGTCATGTTATTCTTTCTTTGTTTAACTCACTTCTGGTCAGGTTAGTTACATAACTACTTGTCTTTTTGACTACTTCTCTACACACTACGATAACCTTGCTGTCATGTTATTCTTTGTTTAGATCACTTCTGGTCAGGTTAGTTACATAACTACTTGTCTTTTAGACTACTTCTCTACACACTACGGTAACCTTGCTGTCATGTTATTCTTTGTTTAGATCACTTCTGGTCAGGTTAGTTACATAACTACTTGTCTTTTAGACTACTTCTCTACATACTACGATAACCTTGCTGTCATGTTTTTCTTTGTTTAGATCACTTCTGGTCAGGTTAGTTACATAACTACTTGTCTTTTAGACTACTTCTCTACACACTACGATAACCTTGCTGTCATGTTATTCTTTGTTTAGATCACTTATGGTCACGTTAGTTACATAACTACTTGTCTTTTAGACTACTTCTCTACACACTACGGTAACCTTGCTGTCATGTTATTCTTTCTTTGTTTAGATCACTTCTGGTCAGGTTAGTTACATAACTACTTGTCTTTTAGACTACTTCTCTACATACTACGATAACCTTGCTGTCATGTTTTTCTTTGTTTAGATCACTTCTGGTCAGGTTAGTTACATAACTACTTGTCTTTTAGACTACTTCTCTACACACTACGATAACCTTGCTGTCATGTTATTCTTTGTTTAGATCACTTCTGGTCAGGTTAGTTACATAACTACTTGTCTTTTAGACTACTTCTCTACACACTACGGTAACCTTGCTGTCATGTTATTCTTTGTTTAGATCACTTCTGGTCAGGTTAGTTACATAACTACTTGTCTTTTACACTACTTCTCTACACACTACGATAACCTTGCTGTCATGTTATTCTTTCTTTGTTTAGATCACTTATGGTCACGTTAGTTACATAACTACTTGTCTTTTACACTACTTCTCTACACACTACGATAACCTTGCTGTCATGTTATTCTTTCTTTGTTTAGATCACTTCTGGTCAGGTTAGTTACATAACTACTTGTCTTTTAGACTACTTCTCTACACACTACGATAACCTTGCTGTCATTTCATTCTTTCTTTGTTTAACTCACTTCTGCTCAGGGTCGTAATTGCATTGGTATTTCTCAGGATTCAGACAATAACTCTGAAAGATATCACGGTGACCTTTATTGAAGATACACGATATAACCAATATACACTCATGGACAAAACTTAAGGAAGTTGTGCCTTCTAGCATGTATATCGGGATCCAGACAATAACTCTGAAAGATATTACAGTGACCTTTATTGAAGACACACGATATAACCAGTATACACTCATGGACAAAACTTAAGGAAGTTGTACCTTTTATCATGTATATCAGGATTCAGACAATAACTCTGAAAGATATTACAGTGACCTTTATTGAAGACACACGATATAACCAGTATACACTCATGGACAAAACTTAAGGAAGTTGTACCTTTTATCATGTATATCAGGATTCAGACAATAACTCTGAAAGATATTACAGTGACCTTTATTGAAGACACACGATATAACCAGTATACACTCATGGACAAAACTTAAGGAAGTTGTACCTTTTAACATGTATATCGGGATTCAGATAATAACTCTGAAAGATTTTACAGTGACACACACACACACCTTTATTGAAGTCACACAAGATAACCAAGTATGTATAGCCTCTGTCTCCTTCAAATAAAGAGTATTTCAAAGTTAGAGAGTTCACTTAAATGTAGCATTTCTCGGTTTAGATATCCTCGAGTCATTCTTCTCTGCGGTTTCTCAGTCGGATAACGTTCAGCTACACACGACAATATGTTAAACTATGACCTCTCCCTACCTAATTAAAACTAATCCAAACTAACTAGAATTCTAAAAATTAGTTAACAATGAATAGAGAATGTACTAAGTAATTAAAACTACATAAAAGAAGTCTCTTATTTGTCCTTCTTTTTTAACTTTTGAATAGAATTTTTTTTTTTAAGATTTAGTAATTAACAGTCTTTACATGATTACATTGAGTTTCTTTTTTGACGAAAATGTGATTAAAATATATAAAACAGAGTTTTTTTATATTTAGATTCTATGTACAGTAGAATTGATGAATAATAATGTGCTTATACATCACGTAGTATATTTAGAACGGTGTATACAATCCGGATGCCCGCCGACACGCTTCGTGGACCAATTAAAGAAACTCACTGGTTTAACGGTCATCGAGATGGTACATAGAGCTCAAGACAGATGGCTGGTGTCGCATCGTGTTTGGGATGTAATAGTGGGCCACAACGTTCGATCGCGAATAAAATAATATTACTATACAATTATAGGCTTTGGTATTTTCCTATGTGATTGGACATCTTTGAGAAAAGTAGCAAGTATTAGTTTTATAGGTTGTATTTCTAGGCTAAAATAACAGTACGATGGCAAATATAATCGTCTGCAATCATCTTGTTTCATTCTCTATTATCGTTTGAGATGACTTAGCAGATAGAATTTTTCAGGATTTCTTAACTACCAGTTATATTTCGTCGTTCGGGTACAGATTGCACCACGCTGATGAGGGGCAAAAGCCTTAAACGTGTACATGGTTAGCTTTTCTTGATTAATGAAGAAATGGTATCATGGTATATGGTTGACATGTTGCTAATTACGTATAAGTAATCCTAAATTAACAGATTTGAGCTAATGGATACAATACTCATTTTGTTGAAGAATGCTTGTTTATGTAATTACTTGGGTTTAAAACATGTTGTATAGACAGCAAGTATGTAAATATTATAGAAAGGTTCAGACTGAGAGGAACAGGTGATTCTTGGAAGTGCGACAATCCCGGATGAATGCTGTACTACGGAGGAACAGGACGTGGAGGTAAGTCCAACCTTGGGACTGCGGACGGCGATGGCTGGACTATGAGGTAGGTGAAGGAGGAGGTGCCGGGGATCTCAGGGTTTGTACGTCCTGCGGCAGGTGCCTGGGACTGATGTTGGAAGTCAGGTACCTGAAGTAGTGCGCAACAAACCTTGGGCTAGACGTCGTGGGACAAAGGTAGGTTCCTCTCTGCGGTGTCGTGGGACAAAGGTGGGTTCCTCTCTGCGGTGTCGTGGGACAAAGGTAGGTTCCTCTCTGCGGTGTCGTGGGACAAAGGTAGGTTCCTCTCTGCGGTGTCGGGGGACAAAGGTAGGTTCCTCTCTGCGCTGTCGTGGGACAAAGGTAGGTTCCTCTCTGCGCTGTCGTGGGACAAAGGTAGGTTCCTCTCTGCGGTGTCGTGGGACAAAGGTGGGTTCCTCTCTGCGGTGTCGTGGGACAAAGGTAGGTTCCTCTCTGCGGTGTCGTGGGACAAAGGTAGGTTCCTCTCTGCGCTGTCGTGGGACAAAGGTGGGTTCCTCTGCGCTGTCGTGGGACAAAGGTAGGTTCCTCTCTGCGCAGTCGTGGGACAAAGGTGGTTCCTCTCTGCGCTGTCGTGGGACAAAGGTAGGTTCCTCTCTGCGCTGTCGGGGGACAAAGGTAGGTTCCTCTCTGCGCTGTTGTGGGACAAAGGTAGGTTCCTCTCTGGGCTGTCGTGGGACAAAGGTGGGATTCTAACCGCGGACAAAGGTGAGTTTCTCACTTCTGTTTTCTCTCTTGGGACAAAGATAACTTGTTCCTTCTCTTACTGCGGTGTCCTGTCTTGGGATAAAAGTGAGTTTCTTACTGTTGTGTTCTGTGGTGAGACAAAGATGAGTTTCTTACTGCGGTGTTCTGTGGTGAGACAAAGGTGAGTTTATCACCGCGGTGTCCTGTCATGGGACAAAGGTGAGTTTCTTACTGTTTTGTTCTGTCGTGGGACAAAGATAAATTGTTTCTCCTCTCACTTCGGTGTTCTGTCATGGGACAAAGGGGAGTTTATCACCGCGGTGTTCTTTCGTGGGACAAAGGTGAGCTTCTTACTCCGTGTTCTATCGTGAGACAAAGGTAAGTGTATCACTGTTGTGTCCTGTTGTGTGAAACAAATAAAACTTGTTCCTCCTCTCACCGCGGTGTTCTTTCGTGGGACAATGGTGAGTTTCTTACTGTCGTGTTCTGTTGTGAGAGAAAGATGAGTTTATCACTGCTGTGTTCTTTCGTGGGAATAAGGTGGGCTTCTTATTGTCGTGTTCTTTCATGGGACAATGGTGAGTTTCTTACTGTCGTGTTCTGTTGTGGGAGAAAGGTGAGTTTATCACTGCTGTGTTCTTTCGTGGGAATAAGGTGGGCTTCTTACTGCCGTGTTCTTTCATGGGACAAAGATAACTTGTTTCTTCTCTCACCGCGGTGTTTTCTGTCATGGGGCAAAGGTGAATTTATCACCCTTGTCGTTGGGCAAAAGTGAGTTTATCATGGTTGTGTTCTGTTTTGGAACAAAGGCAGGCTTCTCACCGCGGTATCCCGACATCGATGGACAAAGATGGGAATTACATCTGTCCTATGTTAGATATCGCAATTCAAGATAAAAGTTCAAAAGCGAACCAGTTAATAAGATTCAACCAGAGTCCCACATGTCATGGCATACCGTAATGTTCTTTCTTCTTATATGGACATCTTAATTTGTCGATAGGTATAGAGATTAAATATAAAATGATTTTTATCAAATCACTCGCAGTTCTAATTAATAAAGAGGGCGAAGATTTTAAAATAATCGATGATTCATATACGTTTTGAAAGCGATAAGTTTTGAACAAAGTTCTGCAATATATATAGAAGTGTTTTGAAAATAGAGCAATCCATAGATAAATCTTTAATTAAAAAGGCATATATTGGATCAAAATATCATTTATTTTACCAATATTTCAGTTGACTGAACGCCAACCTTTATCAAGGTGTTATAACATTTTAAAGTGTGTCAACAACAAACTCAGCGCCACATAACGTCAACTCATAGATAAATAAGTGGACTTTATGTGGCGCTGAGTTTGTTGTTGACACACTTTAAAATGTTATAACACCTTGATAAAAGTTGGCGTTCAGGCAACTGAAATATTGGTAAAATAAATGATATTTTGATCCAATATATGCCTTTTTAATTAAAAATATAGAAGTGTTTTGTTACAAGGTACGTCATATTAAGATAATTGATGAAGGCACTAGTTCTGAAAGCTAGTGTTTAATTTGATAAAGTAACAGATAGTTATAACGTATATCGTTGATATTTTCACCATTGCGCGCCCACTTGATAAATTCATATTATTTGATTAGCTATGTGCAAACTGATGGTTTCCTAGACCGATGTCTGTACGCCACAGAGCTGTACACAACTGCTAAAATACATGATTATAATTTCTCAATGATTTTTATATAGTTTTCTAGGATATTTTATTTTTATAACTGGAATCTTCAATGCCATTAGGATTGCATTAGCCTTTTAATTGATATGCAATTTTTACAATTGCTAACCTCTACTCCATTAGGATTGCCTTCGTTTTTAAATTGATTTATAATCTCCATATGAGACTACACTCATGGACACATTTTAAGAAAGTGAAAAGTCTTTGATGTTGCCAAATCTCTTGATTTTTTAAAGAATACAAAGGCAACTTTGTTCACACTTGGTTATCTCGTGTGTCTTCACAATAAAGGTCACTGTTATATCTTTCAGAGTTATTGTATGAATACAGATATACATGGTAAATAGTAAAACTTCCTTAAGTTTTGTCCATGTATGTAAATGCTAGTTGTCTTCAGACTTTCCTGGTGTCGCGACAGATGTCCTTCTACCTATGTCAAACAGAAGAGGAGAGAGAGACTAGATACTTTACGTTTTGGTGACAAAATATTTAGTTATAAGACACAGCGTGGAGAAGAGAAAGATGAAAAGTATATATCTTGAAATAATGACACAAAATATATTAAATACATATATACAGTTAAACCTATCTATAGCGCCCTCCTCTTGGGACTCGCCAAAATAGGTTGCTATAGAGAGGGGGTGCTATAGACAGGTCACCTTTTAATGTAAATCGCATCGTACTACGTATTTAAAATCGGGCGCTATAGTGAGGAAGGCGCTATTTAGAGGGGGGCGCTATAGACAGGTTTAACTGTACTATTCTAGAATAGTATTTAATAAGAATATATATACGACCGTAATATTAATAGGAAAATAAGAGAATTTATCTTGAAAAATGATTATTTCACACCAAATTATACCTTTGAGAAACCAAATTACATACTTCGCCTCAGTACAATGATAACAAAAAAAACCTTGCCGAAATCATCAGCTGCAAATCTAACAAAGAAAGCTTTCATCCCGACAGTCATGCATCAACTACCTGCCAAAAATATAAAAAAAGGGTTGAAATGTCGTGAGGACCACTTTGCATAGACGTCTATCACTATGCTAAAGAGTACATTATGCAAATTTGTGAAACGTTTGCGTGTCTTTTCTTTTAGACCTTGTCGTTTGTGCAGCGGAAATAATGAGGAGTGTCGTCATTGTTTGATAGCTCTTGTCAGCCTACTTCGCTCGTGCTGGAAACTTAAGGTGGACATCTTGGGGAGAGAAATGTAGCAATCTTTGGAGCTATCTATCCTCAAATATCAACGATAAAAGAATTTAGTCGATTCTCATAATAAATATGGTTATTGAAGAAGCTCAAATCAGGGGGAAGAGATCCTTTGTATAAGCGCTTCTCTTCGACCTGTTTCTGCTTCTATAAGCAAATAGGAATCTTATCATTGTCTTAATATGGTTATTACATATTCCCTTTCATTTATATGTAATTGCGGTTTAATGCTTTTTGTAAGATTTCTAGATGCAAATTTAAAAATTCGAAATATTGTTCTATTTGCATACTGACAGAACATTAGAACAAAACCGAATTGAATCTATAAAAAGGTTGTGATAAAGATTATAAAAAGATTTTAAAAAGAAAAGGATTTTACAATATATATATATAACATATCGTTATATTATAGTAAACACATAAGTCATAGCAAATTTATCAAATTTTGATTCATGACAATTGATTTTAAACACATTTGGTTATCTCGCGTGTCTTCATTAAAGGTTACTCTATATCAAATATCTTTCCGGGTTATTGTTTCAATCCAGATAAACATGCTAAAAGGTACAACTTCCTTAAGTTTTATCCATGAGTGTATTTTACCAATGGGAGGTATGGAGATCTTTAAATTGGAAGAAATAAAATGGTCAACATGCATGATGATCAGCATGTTTGCCTTGATGTTCAAGATGATCAAGACAAATGACCATTCTATACTAGAGACAACATTGTAAATGACTTGGCACTAGGTTAGGACACAACACATATCATTCTGACCAAACAAAAATAGGACAATTTCCGTCAACCAGTTTCTGACCAGAACAAGTTTATGTAATACCTCGAACCCCATATTCACTCAACCTGTCAACCTTTATTCACTAAGTTTTAAAATAAGTTGAAAATTCTCATCGTTGGAATAAAGAAATACAAATTCGTTTAAACCTTATCATTTCGTATATTGTTTTTCTTCCACTATCTTAAATGAAAATGATCTATATTGAGTTTCTCACAAAGAAATCACTTTTGAGGAAATATGCTACAGTGACCTTTATTGAAGACACACGAGATACCCAAGTGTGAACATAATTACCTCTGTCTCCTTCAAAAGACCGTTGACATCAAAGACTTTCGACTTAAGTATTGTCCATGAGTCTGTAGTTGATTATCATTAGGGTAAATACAATATGTATATATTGTTGCACCAGGCTGCGGTTTGGCAGATTCTTCAGTCTTGATTCTCTCCTCAGACGTGTCTTGCATCTTTCCAGAACGTTTCTCAACCATCATACAAGGTTAAACCAGTCAATAATAAGACAACTATATATTTAGGTAGCACCTAGAATCTCTCTTTATTTATCACATCAAAGTTTAAAGCAGATTATGTATTCAGTGTATCAAAATACAAATTATTTTATAGTACATAATATTTCATAATAATAATCTGTTTTATAAACATAAAATTTAAATTTGAAATATATGAAAAATAATATTATAAATAATTTTAAAAATAGGTGCATTAACCATGATGTAATAATATGGACTTTATGGCTAAATGTGTGTATAATATTAGTCTTCGTTCTCACCTTTTTCTCTTTACTTCTCAGACTTATCATGTAATATTTTGATTATTGAGAAAATGATTAAAGTTTCATTTGAGAAACAGTCAAAAGCGAGAATTCACATATTGGAATATAATCAACAAATGAAACAGTGGTCAAATATAATAAATAAAATAATATATTATTGATGATAGAGGTTGCCGACATTCATATTTATTTAAACAAAATAGACTATTCGACTAGTTTAAAGTTTTATTTTCTTGCCAAATGCTTTATTTTTAATTCTCCTGACGAAGAATAAAATATTTTTATTGAAACGTTGAGAAAATAAAACTTCAACTAGAGAAAAATAAAGATAACAAGGCCCCTGGAGCGCAAGAAACGCCAACCGCCCGTACTTTTAACTTGCCGAAGTGTCTTTTTTAAAGTAAAAAAAATCTAAAATAGTTTTAGAATAAAAATTAATATTTGAAATATTATAATTAAACACAAATTGTGGTAAATGCCAAGTTGGTTTTATAATTAAGTCGTAAATTATTTGCATAAACCTTTCTTTACCACTTTACTTCTAACTTTTCGATGGCCTTCGGTCGTCCTTTTCAAGAAGTTATCTGTATACTGTTTACTTTTATATAAATTCTGAATGATCTGATGTTTAAAAAGCGTAGAGCGTCTTGATACTCCAAACAAAGAGATATAGACAATGAAATTAATTTGTGAAAATATATGCAAAAAGGGTTTAAATCTGATACATTTTATTTTTCTGTTACAAATGCAGATAGACATGTATTCTTTTCATTGTGTTGTTATATTTTAAGAAGGTAGCAAACGCCATTTTGGTGGTTGTTTACCACAAGTTTACCTTCTATAAATAACTTTCTTTTTTACACCCATGGTAGTAACTTACACTGTCAACAATGTGTGTTACGCAGCTTGCTACCTTTGTAGTTTCGACCACATTTCGAAATATCAGGTAAAAATATTTTAAAAGTAAATTAATCGTAATATCTAATTTAGTTAGAAATTCAGGAAATCATTAAAATATTTTATTATTTAAGTATAATTAGGTTTGTAAGATCAGATATGTCTGTTGCTTTATTTACATTTAAGTATAATAGAAATAAATATAGATTAATGTTTAATTAAAAAGGCCTATATTGAATTAAAAATCATTTAGATACAATATATGTCTTTTTAATTAAATATTTATTTTTGGATTGCTCTATTTTCAAAATAGATTAATGTATAATATTAGTTTCTTTACACAAAAAAGCCATCAAAATCTTTTGAATTTTAATAAATTTATTTATACATTATATGAAACTCCAGAAAATATATCTTTTTATTGTTGATATAATTATATTTCAAAATATATAAATTTATATTTGGAAATAAATCCCATTTTCATATATTTATATATACTTTTAATATTCTCTAGTTAATCATTAAAATTACATTTATATCGAAAATTTCAATGCTGGGAATTTTTAAATAAGCACTATTTTATACTTTTCTTATAATAAAATTTCTACTGAAAATTAAAATTATGCATAAAATATAAATTTGTTTATTTAAATATTTTAATATACAAAATAGAAGCTTATATAAATATGTTAAATATACATTTATGGGTAATGTTAAATATTTGAGTACAAAATAAGTGCATCATAAAGGTAATAAAAATGTATTAGACTGTAGTTTATAACATATGTGGAATACTCGTTAAAATATTTATGAAATATAAATGCTTATTTAACGATACTAAAAAAAAAACGAAAATATTTTAATCTCTCTAGTATATCACTAGTATATAATTAATATAAAAACAATATCAATATTATTATATATATTCTCCATATATGATTTAATAATATTTATTATATTATTATTTTTTAGATATGTATCTATAAAGTTGGGCAATATTTATTTCAATAATTGTTCAAATTCTATAAAGAAAATAGAGAGAAACACAGGGGTAGACGAATTAATAAAGAATAAAATAATATTATTTTAAAAAATAATAAAAATATATTATTTATCAATGATGACCCTTAGCGCTCTCCCAAAAAGGGAACACCCGGGCGGCCGACTCCATGCAGTCTAGACGTCTGCTCCCTAGCCCGTATTACGCATGTCCCAAATACTGCGCATTCCAGCCTGGGCATTGCCATCGTCTGGTCACGAGGGCGTTTTTCTACGCCGTCGTTTGGTCCTCTTTTTTTAGGACTTAAAAATCTTTTGCTTTGAAATTACTTTTTTTTTGTTTCATACCGGGTACTTGTGTTTAATTATTATTTTCGAAATTAGTTTTTATTTTTTCTAATTATGTTGCTTCTAAAATAAATATTTGGAGCAGACGATATTTTTTGTTTGGCTCTATATTTACATATATTTTAAAAATTTAATCCTACCTCCTGTTATATATCCGAATATTAAAATTTGTGAAACACTTTTTTTTTTGCGTTTTTTTTTGTATACTAATTTTAAAATAAAGTATACCATAGCTTATTATATACTTTAACTTTTTTAATATTTAAGAAAAAGGCATCTCCTTATCGTGCAACTGAAAGTTGCTGATGGCTTGCGCCATCTATCGGAATAAATATAAACTATTCTCGTTGATTTTTTAATTATTCCAGAATTGGCCAAATACCCATTCTTGATTAATCAAGAAAAGCTAACCACGGATATGTGCACATTTGTACTATTTTCTTTCATATTTTAGAATTGTTACTGTTTTTTCGAAGTAATATTTTATATATAAATTTTAAACTTGGATTATTTTATTAAAAAAACTTTACTACATTTTGAAACTTTATATATTGACTTCTTTTCGAATTATTTTTGAATTATCTAATATTGACTTCTATAATATATTAATATTAGGCAGGTTTATTTTGTTAGTTTTGGCTAAAAATTGACCATAAGTATACATTCATAGGCAAAACTTAAGGAAGTTTTACCTTTTAGCATATATATAGGGATTCAGTCAATCACTCTGAATGATATTTGATACATAGTGAACTTTATTGATTGTTTTTTCGAATCCTTAAAATTCTAACGTAGTTTTTGTATGTTTGTTTTCGAAAATAATGATGATTATTTTATAGATATATATATTTCTTAGAGACACGCTATAATTATTAAATATATTTTACAATTTTGAAGTTTCGTGTTAATTTACTTTTACAATTAGTAAATAAGTCTACAAATTATTTGCCATGCTAAGCCAAGCTAACATGGAAGTTAGTTGTTATGGAATGATAGTAGACTAACCCAGGGGGTCGGCAAACTGCGAGCCACATGCGACTCTTTGGATGTGAAGATCTTTATATAGTTCCATATGTAAATATTATTTATGTGAGTACTGTTTATTGTTGGCAAGAAAACATTTTGTGTCCCTTCAAAAACTTTGATATTTTGTAAATTGTAATTTTTGAACTCTTCTGACTCAAAAGGTTTGCCGACCCCTTGCCTAGGGGAATAATATGGAAATTCTTTTCTTAAACCTAAATGACAATCCATCTTGGGAGACAGAAGTCCGACCACACCTCTTTGCGGTCCCCCCTGAAGTCTTGGAATATTTTATCAAATTCTGGTCCAAAGTGGCTAACATTGCAACGGCACCTATTTTCCAATATAGAGCAATTGACATGGACCCAGAGCAGCAGTTTTACACACCCAAGATAGAGGACATTGTGACTGCTGTGGTAGAGATGTATGGAGACATCTGAGACTCTTCATTGGACATGACAATAACAGCAGAAAACTGACATGGACCCAGAACAACAGCTTTTCACACCCAATATAGAGGACATTGCGACTGCTGTGATAGAGATGTATGAAGACATCTGAGGCTCTTCATTGGACACGACAACAACAACAATCCATCTTTATACAAATTTT